TAAGCAAAATAAAGCAGTATTTTCAATATACACTAGATCCCTGGGTAAATATAAAGCCACTGCAAAAAAAGCAGAATCACTGCAGAACTCACAAGGGCTGCAGCACTCAGGCTACGAACAGACACTGCCTTTGTTGTGACACAAAAAGATTTAATTAAACAAATGCCATAAACGCTTGCATGACAATACCAATTAACAGGTTGTCCCACTCTGTTGCAGTAGATGCCTATGGCTGGGGCACAAATATGGACTGAAAGCACTGTTGAAGAGCCCCTGCCATACAGAACTCATTCTCACTCATAATTAAAAATAAAAAAAATTGGGGAACTCAAATAATCCTGCCTGGAGCCCAGTAGAGAACAGGCCCTGGAGAATGCTGTCTTGGAAAGCTAATGCAGTGGCCCAGACTCATCAGGGTGCGGTGGGAAAGGGGAGCTTGCTGGAGGCAGGAGCTAGCGGTAGCACCTGGGCCACTCCAGATGCTGCCAGGATGGGGGTGTGGTTGTGGGAATAGCTGGTGCTCGGGACCAAGTAGCTTGGTGGGGCTGCAGGAGGGGTGTTTCCCTCAGCCCAGGGCTGTCCACATTCTCCAGGCTCTGCTGCAAGTTTGAAAAAGAGGAAAGTGAGGTGGATGAAAGGTTCAACACTGGAAGGATAGGCAGGAATGGGCAGGCTGGGCAGTCCCAGCAAAGACCCCATCCTCCTCCCTGCCCTATGCCCACCAAAGAGTAGCAGTACATCCTACTCTCTAAACCCGCTTTGAAAGGTGAAGTGTGGTAAGATTCATGACAGCCCAACTGGTGCCACAACAACAGAAACATCTGTTTGTAGCCTCAGACCCAGATTTTCCCAGCTATACATGTTTAAAGTTAGATCTCATTAATAAGTCAGTCAGGTCCACTGTAATCAGTTCCTTTTTAAATAGCTTGCTGAATTGAGACATTTGGGTTTGGTTAACTCTTAGCAAAACCAATATAGATTTCTGCTGAGTTAAAAAACCCACTAAAGGTAAAACAAAGAGGAAACCCTGTAGAATAGAACAGCCAGTAAGTGTCCCCAAGGCTGGGAATTAGCTCACAGTAGTTGCAGGGACTGAGAACTGCCAGGGACCGGGACTAATGAAGTATGAAAATATCAGGATATATTAACTGCATTATGCATCGTAAATACAATATAAGAACACTTAAGAGCACACAACATCAAGTATTTTATTTATATGTATAAATAGCTCATGCACATGCAGTGTCTAGGTGTATTTGGAAATGTAGTTGTCCTTCAGGAAGTTTTCTACAATAGCACGACACAAATAAGTCTCATTGTCTGCCTCAGTTTCATGGGGTCATTGTTACAAATAGGTTTAGGTGATCCCTGTTTCACACATGCACTCAAACATACTAATGACTGGTATATTCCACATTACCTTTCATCATGGAATTCATGCCTCTCATGTTCCCATGTCCTGTTGGGTGAATAGTCCCATTCCAGTTCCACTGCAGCAATGTAGTAAGTCTTTTCATGCAAATATAATGATGGATCCACATTCCACCAATGGCATTTTTCCACTTTGTATTTCTGTTTCATGCCCCCCAGATAATGATCTGTTGTGAGGCACTCCACTTCAAAAACCCCTAAAGGGAATTTGTATAAGAAAGAAGGAAATGAAAAAGGAAAGCTGCAGAGCTTGAAGACTGATTTTTCAACTTACGTGATCATTACTGTTTTAGAGTGTACACAGTTTGATTTGAGGTGTGGACTTACAAGATATAAGCTCTTTGACCAATGGGACTAATCCCAGTAATAAAGGTAAGTCAATGTCCAAGGCCCGTGACACATGTTCAATTAAAAGTGTGATGGGATCTGAGCGTTGCATGGCAGGATACGTGCATGGCAGGAAGCATAATTTTGGGCTCAGATCCCAATTGTGCCCTTTCAACTAGTTGCCAGTTGAAAGCTGGGTAGACACAGCTTAACATCTCCAGGTGCAGTCCTGGGACTGGTTCAAGACCGCAGCATGGTCCCAGGGTCAAGACCAACAAGCAAATGATTGTAATTCCTAACCACAGGGCAGCCCCAGACCTGCCACATGTTCAGTTAAGGCACCATGCAAACCAACCATAAAAATGTTCTAACCTATACATTTATCGTGGCATAAATATAATGTCTAGAGGGGCCCTAAGAGTGTTTACAATCAAGGCCTTGCATTATAAGTGCCCCTATCCCATAGGTATGATGTTCTGCCTTAAACAATATTCCCTTAAGTCATGGTTTTCAGACAATTTCTTTCACGTATCACTTCATAACAGTCCTTTGCAGACCCATCTCTTTACCCAGCACCTCACGGCTTTGTTCAAATGGTCCTACCTATGCTCCCAGACAAATGCAAGAAAATTTAGCCTCCAGCCATTTCCTACAATGTCATTGCATAGTTTCCTCACACCTAGGGGGTTTGTGTAGAAGGGCTTGGGTGTGCATAATTTATTTCTCCTCAAGCAAGGCAGGAAATAGTTGGAGAGGGGTGAGAGATGCATGGAGTCCTGACTCAGCTCCTCTACCTACATCCTGGCTAGCACAGCTCAGCAGATGCAGAGAGATTTAGAGGTGGTAATCAATTGCTAGTGAGATCTAGCAAGAAACAGAAACAGGGAAAGAAACTGCGCTTGCCCAAGGTATGATTCTTT